ATCGACCTTCACTAGTGATACATCGACCTTCACTAGTGATACATCGACCTTCATCAGTGATAAATCGACCTTCATAAGTGATACATCGAACTTCATCAATGATACATTGACCTTCATCAGTGATACATCGACCTTCACTAGTGATACATGGACCTTCATCAATGATACATGGACCTTCACAAGTGATACATCGACCTTCCTAAGTGATACATCTTCCTTGATAAATGATACATCGATCTTCACTAGTGATACATCGACCTTCACTAGCGATACATCGACCTTCACTAGTGATACATCGACTTTCATCAGTGATAGTATATTGACCTTCGAATTCATCAGAGTGATATATCGACCTTCATCAGTGATGCATTGACCTTCATCAGTGATAGTACATTGAACTTCAAATTCATCAGTGATACATCGACCGCGCGTAAAAATGTCTTGTCTCATTTATAAAGGTCGTTGTATCGACCAAATCCAGCTCATTATTTAAAATTGTAATATCATGAGTCCTGACTGAAACTTCAAAGTTTTTTCATTGATGTTTTTATGTTTTATTTCAGAGTTTGTCAAACTAGAATCAATATGGAGCATATCATGTTAACAAAGTGGCTTCATTACCTGAACTCACTGTTAAACCCAATTATCTATGGCTGCCTTAACAGAGACTTTCGTACCGCCTTCAAAAAACTCTCCATTTACGTCATAGCGAAACTTTTAAGACAATCGTCATCACTTGAAATACAAAGCTCAGCGCGCAGTGGTCGATTGTCATCACGTGTTCTCACAGATGTTCACTGACTGGATATGATTGAAACACGCGATTTGTTCCATGTCCTCAGTGAGCAATTTCATCGACCAGATTAAGAAATCAGTTATTTTAATAATGACCAAGTCACTCACTTCAAAGATGTAGTTTGGTTGGTCACAGTAAAGTCACGTGGTTTGACTATAATACATAGTCAAAAGATTTTTTGGTTGGTTTTATTTGCGCACAACAACAGCACTAACACAGTAATTATATTTAAAAATAAATTTATCAAATAAGAAAGCAATCACTAATTTTTACGTCAATTCAAATCTTGTAACATTATCATTAAAACTTATTTTATACTATAAAAGAAAATAAAATACAAAGAATATTATGTTGCCGCGCAGTGATACTGATTTTATCCTCCAGTGTTGAAAACATTTATCACGAGTGAGCATAGCGAATTTCAACCRTAGGAGATAAAATTGCTACTTCCATGCGACCATGTAATATTCTGTTTAAACATAAATACTTATAAAAAATTGCGTTGTAAAATTAACAGTTTTGTTTRCTTCCAATGCTACGAATGCTTTTCGAATGAGAAAAATATAGGAACTATATAGATTATATGATAAATGATCATTATCTAAGTTATGTTTAAAATGTTCTTATTTTCAAGACTGTTGCTAAAGTATCTGGAAACTCAACCTTAAAACCGATCCTAAAATTTTCTGTCTACGAGTCTGTATACGATATTTAGCAAAGCAAAAATGGCAGTTACAAWTGAAATCCAGACATCAAGTATTGATAGCTTCTCCTAGTAGAGAGWATTGACACAAACCTGCATTAGCGGTGTAAGTATGTCCATTCTAACGTGAGCGATCAACAAAAATCATTTCTAAACACTGCTTCGTCTACGTTTGTATATGTTTTATTTTCCGAGCTTTCGGATCGTTCGATCCATCATCAGGGACTAGTGATACAAATGAATTAACTAGCGGTTGAAAAAAAATAAATAAATAAATAAACACATAGCTTGTGTGCGCGCGCATCTGTAGCGCGATCTATTATATTTAGCATTTTCGTGATGTGTTTATTTTATTTTATTTTTTTTCAACCGCTAGTTAATTCATTTGTATCACTACTCCCTGATGATGGATCGAACGATCCGAAAGCTCGGAAAATAAAACATATACAAACGTAGACGAAGCAGTGTTTAGAATATGACTCCTACGTACAAATAAATATTAAAAAATCATTTCGCTATATTATTCAGGTTTCTGGCATTGGTCTTGGAATGTTATTCAAGTTATCCAGTAGCRCGCAAAGATGTATTTTCCTTCAATTTCAGCCTTTTAAACTGTAGAACAGTGTGTCTTCTTTTTTCCCTTTGAGTACTTTGTCTTTATGTTGCTACCTTAGCATTAGATGATTCATCTTGTTTTAAAAACAGTTTCGTAGTTTCTATTTTTTTWAAACATGAAGCTAGAACATGCTTAAATTTTGAATGACACTAGTTTAGGAGACTTAATTACTGCTTCATGTACTCTGTTTCTAATCATGATTATAAGAAGTCGATCAGTCTTACATATTGCCTACAATAAGTGATATACTAGTTTTTCATAACTCAACGGTGACATCATGGCCTATCAGAAAGAATGGGGCCCAGAACATTGGCTCAYTGTACTTTGATGTTTCCCTCATGTCCTTCATTGCCTGTTGTAGGCTGGTACTAGCACTCTTTCCKTCTTTCAAATGCTTGTAGAAGTATCCCATGAATACCATGGTAGCTTGGTCAGCAATGGCCCACAGTGATGCCAAAACTGCACGGGCCCCAGAAGCAAGAAACGCTCGACTCATTCCTACAACACCTTCTGCTTTGACCTCACCRCCACCRCTGTGGCAGCAACTAAGAACAACAAGTTGAGGACAAACACCACTCTCCTGCACATCCTTTATGGTCAATAAGTACTCTTGTTCCTCGGGGGTATCGTGGCCTGTCAATGGGCCGGGTGCAAGAAATATTTCTCCATCTTTGGTGCCATGTGCAGCAACGTGGATGACAGCCACGTCCTTCAGATGCTTGATTATGTCTTCCTTTGTTGCTTGTTCTCCGAGAAATGGCGTAACACCAAGGACATGACCGATCTTTCGAGCTTCTTCCTCGGCGCCAGGAAGACCGGATATCGTTTGTTTCTTCCCTCTAAACATGACTTCACCGACATGAGGATTTCCGATGACAAGAGCCCCTGACTTGCTGTGGTAATCCGCTGGACACTCCTGCAGTGCTTTTAACGCTGTCAGAGATGGAGCGATTCGAATACGTTTCGTTTCAGAGAGGTACATCCCAGTGTTTGGATCAATGAGCGCGGCAAATGGCACCTTGAACAAATCTTCATCAGGAATGATAACGAGTTCATCGTGTATGAGGTCACGTGACACTTGTGATATCAATTTATTGTACAAACTCTCAAGAGGATTGGAGAAGTTCTCGTCATCGTCATCGTCGTAATCTGGTACATTCCTCTTCTTGATTGAAAGTAATAAATTGTCTGGAACATTGATTGGAATGTCGACTTTGTTTGACAGAGTAGGCTGCTCATCTTCAGTTTGGATTAATCTGTCTTCACACTCTGCTTGTCTGACTATAACTCTGTTCACAATTTCATTAAAGTCTGTATCAGACTGTTGGTCTATTCTGACATTGATGTCGTCCTCTTGTGCGGTCCAAGTCAACCAATAATCATTGACAATGTTATAGAAAACAATAGAAACAGTTTTCGCCATTGTTTCAACATCTTSKATTGATAGCGAACTGCCAGTGAATTGGTTTGATTCGATGTTGTATTTTGATGTCAAAAGATCATCCAATGCTCTTGCTCTTCCACGTTCAGAAATCAAAAGTGCTTCATTGCCACTGCCAGCCATAATTAGACATAAAGACAGTATCTTATAGTTAGMAATAAATGAATCAAGAATTGATACCTTGAAATTATCTTGTTCTTGGATGTGCTCAAAGATCCATTCCCAACATTCCAAACTTTTTCTAAGTGAGTTAATTGCTGCTTCATTTAGCTCATGAAATTCCTTCTTTCCAATATCATGTTGWAAAGACTGCTGTACATAAATAGCTCCAAGATGCCYATGATGTAATGCTTCGCCTCTTTTGTCACCATTCTCTTGATCGATCTGTAACGCCTTTTCATAACAGARAATTGCCTGTTTTAAGTCGCCTTTATTTTTGTAAAGWCTACCTTTTGCCKCAAWAGTAYSAGATAAAGAGCTTTTGTCTTGCATTTCTTCGCATAAGCGTGTTTGCTTGTCAAGAAATTGAAGTGCCTCCTTGTMATGGCCAAMCTCTAATTTRCACATTGCAAGGTTCAAATAAGCTTTTGCTTCGTYTGACTTGCTACCAACTTCTACAGCAATTGCAAGTGCTTCCTCAARAGATGCTTCCGCTTCTTTATATTTACCAATCCGGRACTGCGTGTTCGCTAAATTTAAAATGCTKACTCCCTCTAGAGAGCGATCATTGATTTTTCTAGAATTTTCAATGRCCTTTGTGTGATATTCCATCGCTTTGTTATATTGCCTGAGCAATTCGTACAAAACGGCTAAATTTGYAAATGCTAYTGMYTCACCCCTKAYATCTCCAATGTCGATGCAAATTTCCAAAGYTTTTYCWTKCCAYTTGATGGCTTCRTAATAGTTTCCAAGATTCTTGTAATTAGTTCCTAAACYGWTACAWGCAYTTCTTTGSCCTTCAAAAAATTTAATCGCTGTGCAGATTTCAAGCTGKCGSTTATGGTACTCATTTGCTTTGTGATAATCKCCTTGAWWYCCATAAAYATTGCCYARAKTRCCGCAAGCYRMTGAYTGGATGKYTTTGTCAYCYKTTTTCTCAGAWATAYGAAGAGCCTCCTCGGAATATTCAATGGCTTTGGTGTAATTGCCAAGTTTCTCATACGCCACAGCAAGGTTGACAAAAATACCTTTTTCTGCTTCTAATTCCTTTGCAAGTTGCAAATCGTTTATACTCAGCTCTAAGGCTTCTTGGAGTTTTCCCTGGGACAGATAAGCCTTTSCCAGCCCTGTAGAAGCTKYTAATTCCATGTTCTTATCGCCCAGCTGTATTGCCARTTCTCTGGACTTCTCGAAATAACTCATTGCTTTCTTGGGATTCCCTGTAGTATTGTAGACACRTGCAAGGTTTWGGTAGACTGTAAACTTTTCTGGGTCGCMATTCTCYGGAGCCATTTTCAAATATTCTAGAYAACAATTKATTGTTTCGTCGTTTGAWTTCATTCCGTCGTTAGCTTTTGCCATGTTAAGATATACAGATCTCAGATATTTCAAATCTTTAATCATCCTTGCTACATTCAATGACTTCTTAAAATATTCAAGGGCTTTGTCTGGYTTCTTTAAGTACAAATAGCAGTTTCCAATGTTTTCATAATCTTCGAAAGTATCTTTAATGTCTTCTTCGGGTGAGATCTTTAGACATTCTTGGTAGCACTTGATGGCTTCATCCATTTCTTTCTTTCCTTTGTAGGCTACTGCTAAATTTCGATAGGCAAGTGTCTGGGTGTTGAGACTTTGCACCTCTTTCGCAAGTATGAGAGACTTCTTGAAACACTCGATAGATTCATCATGTTCACCAAGATAGTGGTTTAAAAGTGTCCCTAAATTAGTAAGACACAATGCTTCAGCTTCTTTATTGCCATTCTTAACCGCTATGTCCCTAGCCTTTTCAATACAGTGACGGGCGTCTTCTAACTGCTTGTTGAGCATATAAGCGTTCCCAAGATTACCATAAGACTCCATTATAGCGCGAGGGTCACCTATTACAGTTGCAGATCTATAGTTGAAATAAAAAATAAACAATTTAGTGTAAACTATCATCACATGAGGAAAAATCCAAATCAAAAAAGGAGGAAATTTCGAGTAAAGGATTATTGTATTTTCTAGTTTTTTGTTATTGCCACTAGACCATACATGAGGATCCTTTTGTTTGAAATCAGGCAAATCTTTATTCATTACAACTGTGAGTATAAAATGAAGTATTACTACTATTATCGGCGAGGACGTAAGGAAACATCTTTGATAGAGCAGAGTCACTTGAACCATGAAATAGAAACTAAATACTATATAAGAGCAGCTAGGAGAATGGTATGCGCATGTTCCGCCATACTCCAGTGAACACTACAACTCTCCAAGAGCTTCCATTTTAGCGAAGTGTTTACAATTTTATTTAACGATTTCTGCCACATTTTTGAATGGAAATTAACGGAATACACGGAAAAAATCAAAACCACATCTCGTTCGTCTATTTTACTCAAAGGTGGACTTTATAGTTCTTAAACATTTAGGGGCAACGTGCATTCAATATTCAATATGATTCAATATGGCGACCACGATGTTTACTCGATGGCGAAAATAAAGGCTACTTTCTAGTTTGAATGGATAAAGCTACTTATAATCCACTAATAGCTGGTGAGCAACAACAGTTTTTATTTTTGTTTTGACAACTTATTCTAGCAATATCCAATTTCGATCATCCAGCATAATGATGCAAACTAAACGAATTTTAGCATTAACTTGGAATCAGAACATAATTCACAAAGACGTTTGGATTAGTCTCAACGAATTTCACAATAATGTTCACCAGTTTTGCTATCCGTTTGAGCGATATTAATGTAATGCACTAGCCAATTGGACCCCCGCCCCCCGCCCCCCGCCCCCCGGGACTAGCGGGGCACTGAACGGGGACGTGAGGCGTTTTTAACGTGCTTTTAACAGCAAAATTGCCCCGGGGGGTCGGGATTTTGATGAATTGTTTTCAAAGCGGGGCAAAGAGCGGGGATTTTAACGCTCTTTTAAAAATGGTGGAAACTAGACGTCGGTCGTCTTGAGAAATACCCTTAATGCATTGGTTTTCATCCCCGCTTTTTTATTCGTTTATTTTTCCTTGCATAAAATGTTTTTAAAAGAAACTTATTACACATGTTTTTCTCTGTACAGTAAACCTCATATAGTACGCAAATGGGTACACAGGATTATGCAAAAATTAACGCTGTGTATCACAGAAAATTTGGTTGAAAGGTGTTTGTTTTGTTATTTACTATTAGACCAAAATAGCGGGAAAACAGTAGCGGGGATTTTAACAATGAATGTGTCGCGACTATCGGGGGAAATGTCCTATTTTAACACTAGTCAAACGTTAAATTCCCTGGTATTTCCCGGGGTTTTCAATTCACTAGTGCATGACAACTCACAAAGCGGGTTTTTATTTGGAATCTGAGAGCTATCCGTAAGAGCCATGGGTCTGTTGAATATAATAATTGAGCTTTCAAGTTGGAGGTAAGGTAAGGGTTCGCTTTAAAGATAACGGACTTTGAATAATATCGTATATCTTTAGTCAGTTTTTAATTCGCACCGCTTCCTGTCAGATGGAGATAAAAATTATTCAAAGATCGCCTTGACTTTATAGGCTATTTCGTTTAAATACATCTAGTTCATTTTTAGTTGCATATATTATCTGAATCGTCTTTCTTATTTTGGCCTGTAGGTTATTAACTAATCCACATCTCCACTTCGGTTTCACACTTATGAATGAATGATTTGTTTATTGGAGCTAATTTTGCAGTCCGAGGACTGAATTGACATAGCTGATTACAATTGTACACCATATTTATAAGTTATTAAATTTGCAAATCGATTTGTGCGAACTGGTTTTAAGACACTGCGCACCCCGGATCTTAGAGAATATGTAGGTAATATGTATGTGATTAAGCAATGATAGAAGTATATAACTATGAACTTAAACGCTTAAAAAAAACTCGCTAGCATGACTAAATTCAATATTTTTAAACATTGATGTTCTGCTGCGACATGTTGTGTTTGGGTTCTCGTCGATACCAACACACAGGAACGTTTGTCCGGATTACTATACTTCTTCGTCCTGCCAATGACATTATCAGATCCGAACTTTTTTGCAAGTTAAGTTATAACGGCATTTAATTGTGTAAATATGTTGTACACTTAATAAAATGTTGAAATCTTCATTTTGTTATTTATTTATTTTGTGCCCCTCTTCTTGACTTCAAATACGTCGTTTCTGATGAAGACGAAAGTCGTGCACTATCCAAGTATCGTTTGGAAATTAAACATTTATATTTGCAAAGAGCACAACTAACAAGACAAAATATGAGTATATCAATAATTTTTATGTGACTTCGCATAAATCTATCATAGGCATTTTCGTTTTTTAACTAAGAGCACAAGCATGCGCAGTTAGGTAAAAGCTGTCCCACATGCAAGACATGCTAGTGCCAGATGGTGTAGGACACTTGTGTTCATTATAATCTCTTACAAAGGGTATCTAGTCTACTATATTTGCATTGTGCACTGCATTAGGGAAGTATATAGAAGGCAAAGGAACCCCGATTTTCCTCATGAATAACATGAGGGAAATTTAGGAGACAAAGGATTTATCTTTTACTTAAGTTCTCTTGCATAAATTAAATAGAGGGAAATTTAGTAAAAGACAAAAGAATCCTTTGTTTGTCTTCTAAGTTTCCCTCATGTTACTCTGAACCAATTAGGAAAATTGACGCCACGTTTCATGAATCCTGTTAAATCAAACTCTGTAAACAGATATGATGTCATACACTACATTGACAGAGCTAATGCCAGCATGCAATTCCTACACATGTATGGATAGATGTACAAAAACATTGTCCATATTCATTGAAAGGTCTTCCTTATACATCCTTAAAACGCAGGTATAAGGATTACCTAATCTATAACAACCAATAATCAGTACACATTCAAATAAGTATTGACTATACATGTTTGCAACAAACAATTATCTAATTCAGCATAATATAATTAATATAATTAGTTCTCTTGATATTAAAAAAAAAAAAAAAAAAAAAAAAAAAAAACAAACAAACAAAAACAAACAAAAACAAAACAAAACAAAAAAACATTATTCAATGTATAATATTCCTTCCTCTCAGCTTTCTTTTCCCTCTAATTCCCTTTTCCTTATTTCCTTACTATCTTATCTTTTATTTTTTGGACCCATAATTGACAATTACGGCAACCAWCTCGAAAGCATTTTAGCTCCTTTGGTTGCCGTACACTTATTCAAATTAATGATGTATTATAAATTACATTAGTAATATCCAATAAAATAAAATAATCATGAATGCAAATAATGATCAGAAAAGTGTGAATAAACTAAAATTGAATTGAATTGAATTGTCCTGGTGAGATTTGAGATTTAGGAACTTAGAATGAAAAAAAACAAGCTCGGACAACCACAGAAGCTGAACACTGTCTTTTGCCTTTTTAGTTAACTCCTAAATGGCAAAATTTATATATTTTGGACAATGTATCGTAATTATAGGTGTCTCTAAAGTTTAATATTATCATGATCTAACCTTAGGGATAACTTTTGATAGTTTACAGCATCCGTGAAGCATGTTTTTTGTTTGGACGTTAAACCTTTTTGTTTGGACATTAAACCAAGCTTTTTGGTCGTTACGAAAATCTGCATAATGGCAGTCTTGTCATCAGCATAATGGGCCATAAGTAGACATTCTTCAAGGAGCTGGCAGCACTGGGTAGCGTTTAGCTTTAGGACACCTTGTCCTGTTAAGTGTATGCATGCTCTCAAAACGGCGCGTATTTGTGAGGTCAGAATCATCTCAGTACAGAATATCTGAAAATATGAGTAATTGCTGCTTGACAGTAAAAAATAAATAAATATTTAAGGACAAATTTTTCGTATTATTTATACAAGGCGAGATTTAACATGTACATTCGTAGATAAATTCGTATTTCCGCTGGCCTATGTTATATCATCTCAGTCAACTGAGAAATTATTGAATTAACCTTACATAGAGTAATTTTGGCTGCACAATTAACTAAATTTCAATTCCAAGTCTGTATCCTTGTAATATTAACTCGGTTTGGCCGATGTTAAGTTATTCTTCAAATATATTCTTTGATGCGTGAAGGAACATTGTAAGGAACATGCGGACCAATTGACGGATCTTCAATATTATTCATAAATGATATCTATTCAAGCAGCGGAGATACGCATAATTGAAGATATCATATCTACGACCTATCAAACATTTTCCAGTGACATTTTAATAATCCCTTTAAAGAGCTGTTTTTTCATAAATCAGCTCTGAAAGCACAATAAGCCACAGAATATTTATCTGCAATTTTTTCTATACTAAAACACGTTTCAAAACAAACTCCATCGCTGTTTGATCAATGAGCAGTTCATTCTAAGAGTTTYATTTTATTTGTTTCAAAACATTGAAACCGATTTTCGCAAGTTCATTGTTTTCACAGGAAAATGAAGGAGGTCAAACGCCCCAATGAAAGAGCGCATGTTATGGATATTGATGACATCTGCCTAAAGAAGAATAGTTGTGAAACTCAAAATATTTGACATAGTTGTGCGCACCATGCCTATAATATTTGATTATAAAACTGAAACCTTGAATAGTATACTTGTGTGAAAACTTTTTTTTTTGGAATCAATTGATCGGACATTAGCGATTATGTCTATCATATTACAACTGAGCTAGAAAATTCCATTATATGTTTACATTAAAATGCAAAAATGTTGGGTTATTACTTACTAATAAATAAATTAAACTCACCGGCTTCTTTATGAGTAACAGCTCGAAATAGCAACACTTTTAATTCTTCATCCGCCTGGATATTCATATAGTTCTGTTGTAACAAGAGTATGTCATTCCTTGCAAGATCTATTCATTGATGCACCAAACTATGCAAAGTAGCCCGATATCTTTCAAAATATTTTCGATATTTTCATTGTTGTTTTCTTTTATGTATAGTTAGTTACCTCTTTCTTAAGAATTCGAATGCATTAATCGAGGGTCATTCATATTGTCAGGACGTATAATTCACTTCAAGTCAGTGTATATCTTTGTAATTATTCATCTGTTTGACCAACGTCTTTCTTCAGATATATTCTGATAATACGTCATGACTTCAAGTATGGAATCCTCGAACCAATCATTAAACAATATTCAACATTATTCATAAATGATATCCATTCAAGCGGCAGAGATACGCATAACTGAAGATTTATCAAAACATGATAGTATCTACGAATAGTATCAAACTATCATTAAAGATATCAAGTGACATTATAATAATGATTTTAATAATGATCTATTACATTTATGGATAATCCATATTCATTAGTTCTTATCAATGTTGCTCAATGTATTTCTGAAAACATCTTTTATGCTTATTGGTTTGATATTCATTTAAAATTCAAAGTCTATTTTTAGAGCGGATTTCGTATGACAGTGCAGCGGCACGTATCAAGGCAAGATCACGGCATGACAACAACAAGAACACGACAAGATCACAGAGACTCGCCCGGTAGTCACGATAAATAAAATGCTGATTCATGAGCACATCTCTGCCATACGGCAGGGTGCGGTCAGGGTACGGTACTTAATTAACTCTGGATTTATCTTCAGAGACTTTTCAAAAAAAAAAAAAAAAAATTCATCAACTGCTGACTGTTTCATATACGTTGTTTCTTCCTTAGAAATTCGTCKTAATATTTTCTTAATAAATCCAATCGTTTCTAAGTGTGAGAAAACTGTTGAATACTCCAGTTTCGAATTCAAAGCGAATAACCGCTGTTTTACTTGACAGCAGATTCTATTACGCAAAGAACTTACCAAAGACAAAAGAAAGCACGAGAAAATGTTGTTAATACAATAGAGAGCTAAGAATCTACATTTTCTCCGAGTTGAGGCTAACCCTGCTCATACCTTAGGTCTTATGGGAATACAGGGATAATCTCAACTCGGGGAAAATGCAAATTTTCAAGTCTATTGTAATAACGACATTTTCTCGTGCTCTCTTTTGTGTTTGTAAGGTCTTTGCGCAAGAGAATCTGTTGTCAAATAAAGCAGCGGTTATTCGCTATGAATTCGAAACTGGAGTATTCCTTTATTGCTTCGTCGTGTTCATCAAATTATGGAAGAGAGTTACCTAAATTAAGGTCAACCGCTCAACCGTTGTATTTTTTTGCTTTGCTTTTCCATTGGCGTGCTTCTTCTAGTTGTCTTTTCAAAATATATGGGCATCCAAGCATCCAACATAGCCATCGCATTATAAATAATGATTTTTTTATTTTGCTTAACTTTTAAAAGTTCTTTTGGCCGAGATATATTGGGAGAAACAATCAAGATGATAGGCATTTGAAATGTGGAATATAGCAATTGTTCTCGCAACGCAAGTGACTCGGAAATTGCAGGTTCTTAATATCGAGAACGTTTCAGTAATTGATCAAAGTGTCGAAATTAAAACAAAGTTTAATGTTAATATTAAAACACGACTTAATCAAGGCAATCACGTGGTGCATATTCCGCTCAGTCTGTAATGATGTCAAACAATGACGCATTTCATTCATCCRTAATGATATTGGAAAATACTCCAAAGCGCAAGCATGTAAATGCTTGGTGATCAGCTTCACATTCAAAGTCAAAGTWGAATTCATCTGACTGTTAATTACATAAAATAAACTAAAATTATTAAGGATTAATTAAYATTCATTGCCTGGAAAAAGGTGAGGTCAGTTGCAAAGAGTGAATATAGGAACACATTTTTTAATAATATATGCGCTGTCTCTATAATTTTCATTAGACTGAGCGCCGTCGATGTCACAGCTTTGTCAAGCCTAGCAATGAAGCCAAGCAGCTTTGCAATGCSAAAAAAGATCCTGAACACTCGATTATTGTTCCTGTTGCACTTAAAGATCACATAATTGAAATATTCAAGATGGATTGCAAGGGYATTCTTTAAGTCATTTAGAAAGAATAGGCAAAAGCAAACGACTGACATATCTCTCGTTACAATAATAGGCATTCTACGCCATGGACAACCTCTTCAACGTAAGCAAGATACAGGTTCCCAATGTAGAGTCATTGACTCCAATTACTATGTAGGAAATGACAGAGTCAAGCGTAACTGATCGATGAGAGAATAATCACCACGACAAGTAATTCTTCGAGATCATTAAAGCTAAACATGACGAGGTGAAGGCTTTTCCATTGTGCTGTAGTTGGAGTGCATCACGAACGAGTCGGCTTGAGACCGTAACGAGCTGTCCCTCTCGTCCATACGTGTTCCACTTCGACATGAGTTATTCCTGAATGAATTCCTCTCACTGTAAAATGACCGCTGTTCAATAAGAACGTCCTGGTAGTCCTTACACATGACGCATGCGCACACGTACATTACTATCTTTTTAAACGCTCCCCTGAAGTCTTTGTTCATACAGGCATATATGATGGGGTTAAGGACACTGTTTACATAATGCATCCATTTTGCTACAAGAATCGATTCATTAGGGAGTGGTCGACATTCGATACATAGCCCATAAACCAAGTTTAACACAAAGAAGGGACACCAACAAACTATGAATGCACCAATGACCACGCCCACTGTTTTGGCTGCTTTCAGCTCCCTCGATAATAGAAATCGTTTAGGTTTTCCCTCGACAGTGAAAATCATCTTTTTTATCTGATGTCTTGCAGCTTGATACATTTTAACATAACAAATTACCATGACAATGAGAGGAACAATAAAGCACGTGATCGTGACGGTCAGTTCATACATTGGCGGTGGATGACCCCAAAAAATGATTTTTATCCCGGCGACAATAGCGGCAAAGATCCAAATGCAGGCAATAGAGACAATAGCCTTGCCTGTTGTAACAATAGCTCGGTGTTTTAAGGGAGCTGAAATGCAAATACATCTCTCAAGACTAATGAAACAAAGATTGATTATCGATGCAGCTCCACAAAGGATATCAATAAAATGCCATAACTGCTGTACCCAAACATGCTGAATAACAGGTGGACCCCCTATGATATACGCAGCCCATAAAGGCATGGATCCCAGTGCAACGAGAATATCAGCCGTAGCAAGAGACACGATGAAGAAATTGGTGACATTACGAAGTTTCCTAAAGACTTTAAAGGCGTACAGTACCAGAAAGTTCCCTGCCAAAGCCATAATTATTATGATAATTAGAAAAGTTGATGAAAGAAGTGTTACAGTCAGGTCCGGGGGGTGCGTCATTTGAGTAGAATTGGTGATGTTGACTGCTGTTATATTAATACTTCGGTTGGCCATCGAGCTCTGCAAGATAATACAGGAATTAATATTCAGTGAAAACTACGATAAAGCTTCCAGGTTAAAAGTAGAGACTGCATTTCTATTAACCATTATAATTCGTCAAGACAAGTATATAATAAATCTATTTTATATGTAGCGCCTTTGAAATTTTGTTTACAGCTGTTACAGAAAACGTTGAATGCGAATACTTTATTTTTCAAAGTGTATTTTAAGATCGCAATGCATTGTTGCCACAAGTTTGCTGYATTACAAAATGACAATTTTCAAACTTTATTTTCCGTTTTTAAAAAGACTCCTTTTGAACAGCTATAGAAAGACCAACAATGCATTGCGGTCTTGGAATACACTAATATTCAGTATTTTACGTTTTCAGAAATATCTGTATACTAGAAAATAAAGTGGTTTGTTTGTCAAGAGCAATTATTTTTATAAGACAAAGTCTTCTGTTGAAATCACATCTTTTTAATTCATTTCAACTATTATGGTATAACATCCATACCATATCTATAAACAACCTCAACATATGTGCCCGGCTAGCTCAGTCGGTAGAGCATGAGACTCTTAATCTCAGGGTCGTGGGTTCGAGCCCCACGTTGGGCGATATATATATATGTTTTGTTTTATCCAGAACTACATGCAAAGGTTTTGGCACGAGGCAATAATGTTTAACAAAAACCTCACAAGATTTATGATTGTATGTGATGAAAACGCCGAAACGTCGAAACGTCGAAACGCCGAAACGTCGAAACGCCGAAACGTTGAAACGTCAAAAAGTGAAAATCGTCGTGGAATGCAACAGCAGACAACAAATAATAAAGATAGAATAAATAAATAACTTTTTTAATAAAAAAATCCTCCAAATAAATTTCTGTATGTATTCATTTTGAATGGACAGCCCGCTATTGAAATTTAAGATTCTTCTGCGTAGATAGTTTATTGTGATACAATGAGAGATTCCTCTATTTATTTGATACTACAGTTGCGAAKTCTCCAATGCCCTGCGTTAGCCTCTCTTGTGTGCAAAATATTCCTATTCGTGATTATTCCTAAGCGTGAAATCTAAAATCAGTTTAATTGCTTTCTTTACAAATCCACGCGTTTCCTTGGGCTATCAATGAAACAGAAGAATATAGTCGATTGACAAAAGGTTGTCGTCGACCGAATTTCACGAAACGCGACTAGCCCGAACTTGTTTCTGGATAAAAATCGATGAACTGGCAAATAAGAGATTTGAATGCGTGACAAAAACTTCTAAATCACGTGAATTTTATTATGCATGCATGTGATGTTGATTTTTGCATCTCACATTGTATTCCATAATGGCGGGGAATACAACGTATTAAAAATGAGAATAAAACCAGAAAGAAATTGACACTATACTAGAAGGTGTTGTTATGCCTAATTTGYCAGTTATTGATTTTTAACTAGAAACCTCTGTTCGGGTGGGTCGCGTGCAACGAATTCCGGTTGTCAATCGACTATATGTTGCTTGGTYTTGAGGCTAACACAGAACTCGAAGTTGGAGTATTATATTGTAGGCGAATCATCGTAATCACTATCCTTTTTTCRATGACACGCTTACGGCATAAGAAAATCGGAAGAAATATTATAACTCGATCAATAGAAATCTTTTTACTGAATGGAGAACCGGCTTGTGGAATAAAAACAAATTTCCCTCCCCGGTCAMTTGAAACAACTGAGATGAAACTGGGATTCCCTGTGGAAAAATCATGTGTGTTTRCTATCTCTACAAAAACACTAAATAATCTATCATTAAACATTGTATGTTTATGTATACAAATGGCTTATACTATCAAGATAACTCTCATAAAAGAACTGTAAMATAAACCCCTTCATCGGTTACGATAAAAAAGGTTTCATGATACTGCGTTATAGAAAAATATATATAGTACATTGGAAATAATAATAGCTTCACAAGTAGACAGAAATACGCCTAGTAGATTTGTGAGGTAATACATCAGAGAATTTTTGTAAAAGGTATTGAGCTTGGACTTAACCGTACACACTATACTACTTATGTATATAATATATATAACTATTCATAATATAAAGTAGTCACGGAATAAGCTCAGTAACAAAATTACAATTCCCTTTTAACCTTTTCTCGCCAAATAAATTCTTCATAAAAAAACGGGTAAATTTACCTTAAGCGTTCTAAGTCACTGTTGTTTGCTTTGCATGCACCTCTTAAGTTCACAGTTTTGCCTTCTACGAACGAAACAAAACAAATTTATTATCCTACTGTAATGATTTGCCGTGTTTACATTCCCATGCTTGAWAYATWTCCTTTGAATGGCTTACCGAATAATAAAACCACTCTTTGATTTGCAAACAGATTCAAAACAACTACAGGCCGGTAAGCATTGTTTTGTGTTTATCAGAATAGGTTTTTCAGTAATACACTTTAACCATCACGAATTGTGATCACCAACTATGGTTTGGTTAAATGGCCAATCAAACGSCACTTGTGCCCACGCCTTTATTCAAAGAGTCAAAACATTTGTTCTTTTCTATTCACAGAGATTATAGTGATGAGATAAAACTGGACAACCCTTTACGTGTTAAACAAATACTTTACATGATAAACTTATAAAACATTTAAGACGCAACGAATTTAAATCTCAATTTTTTTGTGCGGCAAACTCAATATAATTGACTCCAAAATGGAGGCCGTTCATTAGAAAAATACTTTTAAACCTAAGATAGAATAACCCCTTACATTCTAAAACCGCAAAGACATAGATTTTCATCAAAAAGCTGCATATTTTATACATGCAAAGGAAAGACTATGCGTGATGATATAGGACATCCCCAAAGACGTACAAACGTTTCTCTGTGGATTAAGCAAATTGATTAAAAAACCCATTTACGTCCGCTTTTCATTGGAATTTGTGAGATTTTTTAGCAGCTTCTAAATGAAGCATGTTCTCTGGTATCTAATATTAACGGACATTATTCTTTTATGTTGGAAAAAATGAAGAAATTTTGAAAAATATTGCCAATGAAAATGTGTCCAATTGATATCCAATTCTCTGGATTACTCTCCATTCAAAATTGCTTTCGTTTCAATCCTTTTTTAGCATCGATACGTTTCTGTACTTGAAARGCATGCGTAGATGTCATGGCCAAATATAAACGGTATTCTATTTGCACGTGTTCAAGACAGATAGCGGCTTACGGATATAACGTCATTGTTTACGAAAATATTCTTAAGAAAGGCATTTTCGAAAATATAACCGCTTACTAAAAAGCATGTAGCTAGAGGTTACACATAATTATACAAACACAAACATGAACAAACGACATGGTATTTTGATCTTATTTATTTAAAAAGAAGAAAGAAAGAAAGAAAGGAAGGAAGAAAAAGAAATGAGAAAGAGAAAAAGAAAAAAAAAAGGGGATAGAGAATAGAAAAAAAAGCGAAACATGGAATTAGCAACCCCGTCTAAAAGAAGACATTACATTCAGCCATTAGTGTGATCGCCCGAGGCTTTTATGGCACCGTGGAACCGACATGAGATGGCAACTTGAATAGGGTCATTTTAGTAGCAGTAGTATCAGTTCCGGATCTTCTTTGTACTAAAAATTCAAAGACTTTGAGTGGGTTCAATATCATAGGAAAATAAGTCTGTGTTATAGATATCAATATTCATATCATATTGGCACTTATTACCATACTAGTGGACTATTGCARATCGTCCGTTCTGATTGGCTACGCTACTCGGGGTCTATTTTCAATAATCCTCGACTATCGAAAAGCGACAAWTTTTTGCGTATTTTTAGCAATAAAAACATTTAGTTATTTATATATTTCATTCATTTTTTTGTCCAGCTAGTATGGTAATACTAAAACAATTAGATCTCTCGGCCTCGTGGACTACGAGGTGATATCAGCTCGTAGTCCACTCGCCCTCGAGTTCTAATTGTTAATATACAAGGCTGGCGGATGTATGCCAGTGTCTCTCGTTTTTACTCTACCCTTCCCTTAGAGACCGCGCAATATTTATCGGGAGGGGAGGGGAAGGGGTTGGGAA